CAGATTGTTATATATAGTCCATAGGTAAACATGAGGTTCTTCAACAAATGCATCCATCGTGTTTACTCTTTCCATATGATCAAAAACTTCTTCAGGTTGTTTTACTGCTGCAATATTGTTATTTGAGAGTGAGCAATCTTATTGCCTTGTTGATTCTGAATATTAGAGAAGAGATCCACAGCCCACAGGTTGATGAGATTCAGCAATCTTTCCTCCTCCTTTGTACCTTATTCTCAAAGCATCATCTTCAGTTAGTCTTGCTTGAGCCATTAATTATTTTACAAAATATTGCTTCTTCTGTGGCGGGAAATGATCCCAGATACCTGACCTGACTAATGACTCAAACTTTTATTAGCTTCATATAATGAGATTTTTCAAAAGAGAAAACCTATATAGTACTAGTTTTAGTAACCTAACATATATATTACTCCTTTCCGTCTCACTATTTACGATATGCTATCTCAATTGATACAAACTTTAAATATTCACAAAATATATGTACCTCATTTTATACCATAAATTCGAAAGTTCTTTTTTCTTTTTAAATTTATGTCCAATCAAATAAAATGAAACTGAGGGAGGGAGCATATAAAAAAAAAACCTTAAAGAGAAAAAAAAAAAGGAAAGAGTATCTCGGGAAAAAGGGAGGGGACTTGTATCATTACCTATCTTTTGGATAACATAGGGAGGGAGTGGACAGAGTCGACCCACAACAGATGTAGCTCTAGTCCTTTTTACTAACTTCAAAAAAGAAAGGAGAGCAGTTTTCTTGGAACTGAATATAGTACAATTACAGGCACGGAGAAGAAAAGGCTCTCGTTGTTCCATTGATCAAGAATGGCATAGATTCTCTAGAAACCGCTATTGTATGTTCCTTTTTACTGTTTCCTTGCCTTTCTATATGATTATGGAGAGTTGATTAAGGTTGCTTTCTGGTGCAATTGTTAACATTCCTAAACTAGGCTTCAATCATTTTCTTGATTTCATGGCCGTCCCGTTAAATTCAGTGTCCACAGTAACAAATCCATCACCTGAGAATGCAAGAAATTCTTGTGGATTCTTGACCCACATACCAAAGTTCCTTCCTTTTTTCCACTCTAAGACCATTTCAAGAAATTTTGCTTCTTCCCAAATAAGCCCGCCTCTAAATGAACAAGCTTCAAAGGGGAGCAGTAATATTTTCACTCTGCCCAACTGGAGGTCTGGCAAGAATGACCCAAGAAACAAAGAACTCAGACTTTATGATGCCTTTCTATATTTAGAATACATGGTTGGGAAAGGCCACAAGCCTGATAAGACTCATGCAACTCAACTATTGTATGATCTTTGCAATTGTAATAAACTTAGGAAAGCTGCTAGAGTTATGGAAATGATGGTTACCTCTGGTACTATACCTGAAGCTGCTTCTTACACTTTCTTGGTAAATAACTTGTGTAAGAGAGGAAATGTTGGTCATGCTATGCAATTGGTTGATAAAATGGAAGAATATGGATACCCCACTAATACTGTCACTTACAATTCTCTTATAAGAGGACTTTGTATGCGAGGGAACTTGAACAAAAGCCTTCAATTTGTGGAAAAATTGATGCAAAAAGGGTTGGTACCAAATGCATATACCTACTCCATATTGCTTGAGGCTACTTATAAAGAAAAAGGGGTTAATGAAGCAATGTTGCTTTTAGACAATATTATTGCCAAGGGTGGAAAGCCTAATTTGGTTAGTTACAATGTTCTCTTAACTGGGTTGTGTAAAGAAGGAAGAATAGATGAAGCAAAAGAGTTCTTTAGAAACTTGCCGTCGAAAGGGTTTAATCCTAATGTTGTTAGCTATAATATTTTGTTGAGGAGCTTGTGCTTTGAAGGACGTTGGGAGGAAGCAAATGAGCTTCTGGCGGAGATGGTTGGAGAAGAACGTTCACCATCTATAGTAACATACAACATATTGATTAGTTCCCTTGCTCTTCACGGCCAAACAGATCACGCCCTCAAGATTCTGGATGAAATGTACTTTGGAGAACAGTTCAAGCCAATTGCTGCTAGCTACAACCCGATAATTGCACGTCTCTGCAAAGACAGGAAAGTGGATGCAGTAATTAAGTGTCTCAACCAAATGTTAGAACGACATTGTAGTCCTAACGAAGGAACATACAATTCCATTGCTGTGCTTTGCGAGGAAGGAGTGGTGCACGAGGCCTTTTCAATTCTCCACGCTTTGAGGATTAAGCAGAGCTCCTCCACTCATGATTTCTACAGAGCCGTGATTTCTGGTTTGTGTAGGAAAGGAAACACATTTGCAGCGTTTCAGCTTTTGTATGAAATGACAGCCCATGGATTCAATCCTGACTCTTACACCTATTCATCGTTGATCAGAGGATTGTGCTTGGAGAAGATGTTGGTTGCTGCTGTTGATGTATTTTACATCATGGAGGAAAATGGATATAGGCCTGATGTTGACAATTTCAATGCACTTGTGCTTGGTCTATGCAAATCAAGAAGAACAGACTTGTCGCTAAAGGTATTTGAGGACATGATCAGCAAAGGTTATATGCCCAATGAGATAACATATACCATTCTAGTGGAAGGGATCATACATGAAGAACACAAGGAGCTTGCATCAATAGTCCTCAAGGAATTGCATCTTAAACAAGTAATAAGTAGAAATACTGTTGAAAGACTTGTTATGCAATATGAGCTCGAGGTTGAGGATATATTAGTACAGTGAGTTTTTCACAACAATGGGTCAATATTGGGTCACAGGATGAGAAACTAATAAAGGCTATCTATTCATCAGCAAATGCTAATACACCAAATTCAACAAGAAGATTCTCATGCTGCCGGTCAGATGGAGAACTTTATACAACTAATAACCACTTGAGATAATTGGTTTTCAGATACGATACTTGGTTCATAGTAGGCTTTAAAGAGGTCAGATGAAACATGTTCTGTTACTGTATTTTTACCTTAAGCTTACTCTCTGTTACTGGAATTAATGTTACAGAAATGGCTGAATATCTCCTTTATCTCAAGCTTTCTCGCTATTTTGTATTAGAGTATAAGTTCTACGCACTAACAATGTAAAAGGCAATTGCAGGTGGTTCTCTAAGTAATCATTAATTGAAAATCTTAAAAGAGGGGAAGCAATCTTTCATAAAAGCTCAAAATACACCAATAGTGTAAAAATATAGTTTACATTATCAGTGCATAACTGCATATAACTTAAATCCTTTGTGCCATTATGGTATATACAGTATCTTTTTTATTAAGTGTAACCTTGCAGCTTCTTTCCCCTGGCTATATTGTACTAAGTTTTATACAGAAATAGTAGCAACACTGAAATTCTTTTTGTTACAGTGTCATTCTTAATGTTTCTAAGGTTCAGTTCATGGTTCAGTTCCAACTTAGTCTTCCAACTTCAAATGTAGCTCCATTTTGGTAAGAGGGGTTTGGGCTGAATGCCCTCCTCAGTCTCTTAATTAGCAGTTTCTATGAGGAAAGAGGCAAGCCTAGATAATACACCACGAATGGCATTCTTAGACTAACCATTCTTTTCTTGATGAGGTTAATTTTTTAAAAATAGGGAGAATGTTGAGCATGAGAAAATTGATGTTGGCCAAGGTGTAATCTCCAGCATGGTTACAAGTTACTGTCACGCTATTTTTTCCACAAATGACAAATGTGAAAACTTTAAACATATTTTTGTAAATTCTGCAGCCGCTATGTTGGTGACTATTTTTGTGACATGGTCTGAAAAATGTAATCTGTTTTTATGTGCAGCAAAAAGGAAATAAATGATATGACTCCCAAGTCTTTAGGCGGTTCAACTCATCATGAATATGAAACTAGAGTTTGAAAGTTAAAAGGATTCTAATAGTAGAATAACAAACAACTTTCTTTGCCTAGATACTTTTGGACACTGATTTTTAGTGGCTGTGATAAACCATTTCCCCATAGTTTCATTTGCTACTTCCATTGAATGCAAGGGAAGACAGCTACTTACCTTTACTTCAAATACCCACAATGCCAGAGCTTGCTGCTTGCTTATATTCAGTTTGAATTTTGCCTTCCTTTCCTCTTCTTTGTTGTCACTTGTCCATCAATCTTGTTTTATTCTATTTCATTTTTAAAAAATTTGGAAATATAATCTTATTTTCATACCTTAATTATGGTTGGTCAAGTCTTTGTTTCCTAAATTCAAGAAAGTTTAAGATAGCTAAATGGAGAGTTTTGCTAGCAAGTCAACTTTGCGCTAGTAGGCAGGGGTGGGGTGGACATAAACTGTTCCAATAACTTATATATTGCGCATAGTTGTGATATAATCCCGAACTCAACCCATAAAGCTCAATTTTGCTCTTAGGTTTCCTACTATGATGTTGAATGCAAAAACACTATATTGCGCAAAATCACCACTCCTAATGTGTCTCTTACCATAGTTGGCCGCTTCTCACCTTCCCCTAGGTATCTAACACCAGCTTGTGGATGGGACTTCCCCCTCTTTACCTTTTCTGCAGTAGTCTCCATATTCATTTCCACCATGTTACTCATTCATATTCATCTCCACTATGTTATCCTCTTAAAGCATGCATTGATTTCCGGCTCAAAACTTGCAGCAACTCAGCATAATGATTCGACATGTATTTGTTTAATTTTTCTTTTCATCTTGGCATTTGGAAGTTCTACTCAACATTAATACACTTCTTTTTTGCTCTTGTAAATATAATTATTTTCATGATGACCTACTATATGATTCAGTATTTTTTGTGGAGACTTGATCCCAAGCCTCTATACCTTTTTCATGCCTTTGTAATTCTTGAACACCAAGCAAGCACGAGCTAGACTTAGTCCCTGCCACTGTTTTCACTTCAGCCATGCATCTTGAGGCTTCGGCTCATGTTTAACCCTGGCAACTCGTACCAGAGACAGATGACAGTTCATCTCAAGAACATCACTCCAAGCAATAACATTCAGTCAAACTATAATCAAATGAGATGCAACCCCAGACAAACAGAAATCCTTTCAAGAAAGTCAGCTTAAAAGAGAATAGGTTCAGGATAATCTCCATATATCTTAGGTGGACAAAACTAGCAAGTTGCCCCAAAAACACAAATCAACATCCTTACAAGTAATAGTTTAACTAAACTAAGCTCCTTCATAAAACATAGTAGATTAATTAATACAGCTTCAAACAACAGACAACCACCATTCTCTGGAGCTGCCAGAGAGATAGACAGCAAGAGGAAAAGGGCAGCAGATTCACCCAAGAAAGCGTCCTAGGCATCTAGAACCCTCATCTACTTAGATCTCTGTCTCATCTTTCTGCGCTTCCTCTTCAGTCTTCTCATACGCTTCTTCTTCCACTGCAATTAAAAAAAGAAACATTAGAGGCTGCCGCAGTTACAGTGATAAGAGAGAACAAAAATCTTAGCAAACGCCGTTTTGGTACGCTTAATTGTTATTTGAAGAGGCTAAAGAAAACCCATTGTCTCAGCTTTCCTCTTAATCTCTTTGGCTACATTCTCAATACAACTTCTGAATCCAGACATTCTCTACTCCATTCCAGGGCCTCACACTAAACCAGTACATTCTTTCCCTTTTTTCCCATATAAAGCCCATCAAATACTTCCTTTGGGGCAGAACCAGGACTTCAGAATTTTCTTACCCCAACAACAGATCCCAAAAGGCACAGCACACATCAAATAAACTCTAGTTTACGCACGGAAAAATAGTAGGCTGTCTACACAAATACAAGTTCATGATAGATAGTCCACCACACAAAAGAGAACCTTTTTTATAACCGTGGTGTCAAGGCAGCTTACGCACCTCAACTAATTGTCTAATTCCACGAGATACCACCTCAACTAGTTGTCTAATTCCATGAGATACCACCTCAGCTAATTGTTTAATTCCACAAGATACCTACTACCTCCCACTCCCACCCGGACAGGTATCGAGTACCATTATCCACCAAGGCTTGGACAAATAAGAAATCACCTAATGTTTTTGCCCCCGCATCATTGACCACTAGCCCGCACACTTGGGTGCACACATAAGGGAATTCAGAGTGGCAACATTACGAAAGAACAAGAAGAAATCTGAAAACAGAAGATAACGCTCGCCAACCATATATATGCCATGGTAATATTACTAAAACACGAAGTTCCAGCATCAGCAACTTAGTTTATTAAAGAGTACTGATTTGAATAGTCAGTCTAATTTTATTCCTCTTCCAATTGCAATCTACTACACCATCATATTAAAAGAAGTGCATCTCATATCATACTTAGACTAGAAAAAGCCCTTCTACCATTCTCTCTGTACACTCTTGCCTTGCGCTAGAAGGAGCAAATGATGGAGATGGCTGGGAGGGTAGAGATCTGAGAAAAGGCAATGTGGGCGCAATCTTGGGAATGGCACAGATGTAGGCTCACTGACAGGGTTAGGCATGCGAAACAAGAGTGAGAAAGCTCATCGAATGATGCAGGTGAGAAAACAAAGGGAGGACTGATGAAGGAACTCTGGGAATTCACATGCTGGAGAAACCAGTCTCAGCAATTATTTTCTCACATCAGGTCACAAGTATTGCAAGTTTTTAACTAATGGGGCTTCCTATAACGTTCTCAATTTTGCTAACGAGGCTTAGTGTAAGGAGGGTGGATTTGCCCACATAACCAATGGAAGTCTACAAACTCCAGTAAAAATCTTAAGCAATCATAACAGTTGTAACACTGCAGAGCAAAACAATAATAGAGAAGACACTGAAGAGGGCCTTCCAGGGCTCCAACTAGGATCAGCAAGCAGTAGAGAAGTCAAAAAGCAGTGTTTTCCAAATTAAAACTTGCTAAGTTAACAGTTTTTTTCTCCTGGCATATATAGCTAACAACAACAACTATGTCTCAATGCCAAACAAGATAGTTCAGCTATATGAATACCATATATAGCATAGTGCAGGAATTCCCCAGATATGTGGTTTTTTATGACATGAAGTTGGTGAGGATGGCGTAATCCTCTTTCTTATATATTAGCATGTTAAACATAATATCTGAGAGAGGTTATGATTCTCTCTGCGTAGGATTAGATTCATGATTCCCTTGACCACCTTATAAAGAAGATGCATTATTTAGGATTTGGAATGAGATAACAGACCTTGGCCCTCATCCTTGCTTAAATTTCACCGATGGCTCACTCTTTATCTCTCGACTTTCGCCGCTTTCACGAGGAAACTGTGGCCTCCTCTTCCATTTATAAATAAGGAGGTAACAAACCCTAGCTCCGAGTAGGACATTCTAGTAATAATGGGAAAATTTCACATAAATAGAATGGGTTCCTACTTTTCAATTTTATAGCCCACATTTCAATTTATAACCAACTAGCCCAGAAATAATTGGTTAAGATTCAACATTCAAAAATAATAGGTTCTCGAAATTACTATTTAATTTTTAAAAAAGATTGCTCAAGATTTTAAGTTAATTTTCGAATCAGTAACTGTGATTCAAATATTAGTTCAACAAACCAAATCCATTTGGATGGTGAAAACAAGCTTAAATATGTGGATTTAAATTTTGAATTTGATTTTGTGAGAAATTTGGAGTGAGTGTTATTTAGACTTGTTAGAAATAGTATAAGGATGTTGTATATAAAATTTGAAGTCATTTAATGGAGATTTGGACTGGTTTTGAACAAGAATTGCAACTGAAAATCGTGGAAGAAGTTCATCTACAGAAGCTTGTATAAAGGTGTATAAAAGTATATAAGATGTGTTTATACACTCATATACACTATTATACAAGAGTATACATAATTATACAAAAAACTGACTTCGTCTTCTTCCTTGCGTCTTTTCTGAAATTTAACCCATATATTGCTCAAATCACTTCAAATTTAAATTTTGAACTCCTTTTGATATTTTCAATCAATTGGAACAACACCCAATCCAAACAACTAACAAACTCAAAAAATCATATTTTCGAAAGCAAAGCTTTGAATGGCTTTCAATGGTGCACTTCTTGTGATGACCCAAAGTGTCATCTTTAAATTTAATAAGTAATTCTGTATTCTAAGACCTCAAAAATTACTATTTATCATTCCTCGACTTGCATTCGCAGTCCGTATAATTTTTCGGGAAATCTTTGTGTGAAAAATGGATTAAAATATGAAATAGAGCTTTAAAACTCAACTGAATTGACTTTGGTCAATATTTTGAGCAAACGGACTCGGGTCAGTGTTTTGACAGTTCCTGTAGGTCTATATCGTAATTTGGAACTTGGGTGTATGCCCAGAATTGAATTCTGAGGTCCCTACCCCGAGATATGGAATTTTGATGAAAAATAAAAAGTTTGAAAGCTTAATGATTTTTAAGAATTTACTGATGTTGGATTTATTGACATCGGGTCCGTATTTGGGTTCTAGAGCCCGGTATAGGTCCACTATAATATTTATGACTTGTCTGCCGAATTTGGTAAGAAACGGAGTTGATTTGACGTGATTCAGACGTCCGGTTGTGAAAATATAAGTTTTGAAGTTTTCTTGAAAATTTTCTTTGATTTGGTGTCTGATTCGTAGTTCTAGGTGTTATTTTGGCGATTTGATCGTGCGAGCAAGTTCGTATGATATTTTAGAACTTGGGTGCATGTTTGGTTTGGAGCCCCGAGGGCTCGGGTGAGTTTCAGATAGCCTACAAACCATTTGAACTTTGAGAAAAATCTGGTTTTTAGCTTCTGCTGTCATCTGGTGCATTGTGCTTTGCGATCGCGAAGCCATTCCTGCGATCGCGAAGAGGAAATTGTGAATCGAGAGTTTTACCCTTCGCGTTCGCGAAGGTAGGCACGCGATCGCGGAAGGTTAACTCCCAGTGCACTTCGAAAGCGTGGGCCAAGCTGTGATCACGAAGAAGGAATGAGGCAGAAGCTGAAGCACCAAACTTGTGCTACGCGATCGCATAAGTCGGTACGTGATCGCGTAAGGTTGGGAAAATGTTCTCTGCGATCGCATGGCCATTTACGCGATCGCGTAGAGTTAATAAAATGGGCAGCCAAAATATGCTTCGCTATCGCAAACAATTATCCGCGATCGCGAAGAGTAAAATGGACCTGGCAGAAGTTGTTCTACGCGATCGCGAATGAATTTCCGAGATCGCGATGAATAAAAATCTGAAAAAAATAGAACTTAAGTTCTGGAAATGGGATTTCGACCCATTTTCAACCATTTCTAATTTTTGAGCTCGGGTAAGGCGATTCTGTCACGACCCAAAACTAACCCCTGTCGTGATGGCGCCTATCGTGGAACTAGGCAAGCCGACTCATTTCCAAAACAAACCAATATTTTCATTTTAAAGATAATTTCAAGGTTATTTGACATAAAACCTCCATTAAAAGAGTTCAAATAAAAAAAAAAATAGAAGTGGGGAAAAAAAGCCCGACATCGGGGTGTCACTAGTCATGAGCATCTGCTACAATCTATCTAACAATGTCAAGGCTAACTCAGCTTGGAAAATAACTAAATACAACTAGAGGAAGATAAGAGGGAGAAGATCAAGGGCTGCAATCGCCAAACAGCTATCTTGCTATCTCCAAGAAAATCTGCAACCAGAACACTCAATAACTGCTACTGTGTCCAGCTACACCTGAATCTGCACACAAGGTGTAGGGAGTAACGTGAGTACGCCAACTCAGTAAGTAACAACAATAAATAAAGACTGAGCAGTAGTGACGAGCAATAAAACATATAACGTTCATATCAGAAAATCTCAGTAAAATACCACATGCTTTTAAAAATCAGGATGTGAATCAAACATCTCGTTTAAACCCAGTTCCAGTAAAAATCATTTAAAGACATTTTTCCAACAATTTTTCAAACAAAGGTTCAATGCAAAGGTGAGCAAAAATGGTGAAATCATAAACAGACCCTCGGGCAAAACATCACTCATATACAGCCCCTCGGGCAAACCTCA